CTCCTCTGCTAACCTCTAAAAGAACATTGGTTACACATAAAAGTGACTCAGAGAGCATAAATCTTTCGTTGGTCTGTGACATGCTTGAGAATCATAGATATTATACGTGACTCCCAGGGCAACCCTTCTGCTCAGAACAGGATTAGCTTGTAGTAAATTTCACGAGGTTTTGCCTAAATAGGGATTCTACCCCATCCTGAGTTGTTGCCTTGATCTCTCACTGCTCATCATCTAGAATAGCCCTAAGTCTATTTTTTCTTTGGTTCATACTGCTTGTATCTAGAATTTATACTTTCCTGACTTCAGTATGATTCAGTTAAAAAATTTCCTTCAACTCAGTTGTAATTTTAAAATTTTGGAGTTACTGTTGACAGTAAGAATTAGTGTAGAAAGAATGCAAAGATAAATGCACCAAGACATTTAGTCATGTCCATACCTATACAGTGACAAAGCAGGAATCCTCTGAGACTTTGGACATGTCAAGGGCTAAGCCTGAATGTGGGATTTCATACATGTCTCAGATGTCTGCAAATCCCAGCTGTGAAGAGAATTTAGTCACGTGATTGTGTTTTAAAATAAATAATGGAGTTAGATTAATACTAACAAGTGAAATGGAATTTAATTGCTTACGTCTGCTACGTAGCCTGTTTTTACATTGTTTTGTTTTCATATATCTATCTAATATTGAGTTAGAAGTTAAATCTTGAAAATCATGTATAAATCAAGAGTTTGCGAACATATTCTAAATACAGTTGTAAGCATGGTTGCATTGTAACATTTGAACAAGATCATTACTTCAAGGTAATATGATTTACATATGTAGATTTTCAAATCCTAACACAACCAGGCTTTGGTCTGTTGTTCCATGTAACATGAACCAAAGTTTCCTATGACTTGGAGGTGAATTGTAAATTTAGCTGTTCTAGTTTAGGTTTGAGTTGTTATGCAGAAACTTTTAGGAACACTATCACTTTTTAAAGAACATAAAAGGCATAAAAACCGCAATATAATCCAACATTCTTTGAACCCCTTAGTGTCTGATCTCCTTTTGTGGATAGTCTGTGATGCATTCAGAATGTACATCACAAAGAAATAGTTCACAACTCTTTAGTCTTACAGCTATCTCCAGGCTGCACCTGAAAGCACATTAAGGTACTGTGAGATCTCTAGCCCACTCAGGGCTTTTTTTCTTCTAAATTATATTTTTAGAGAGAATCTATGTCTACTTTCCCATTCTCTGCTCTCTAGTGATTTTCACATGCTTTCTCATCAGAACCATCAAGTACATCAGGGCATCGTAAGATACAGGTCAGCATGGAAAGGTTGTGCTTGATAAAAAAGCACAGGGTATGACTTTGTGTCAGGCCACATGGTCCCACATGATCTATTGTGTTGTAGCTTGGAGGAACATACAGTTAAGCTCTTTGGAGCTCGGAGCCTGATCTGTGCCCTAAAGCCTTTAATGTGGCCATGTGTTTTGATCCACAGACTACAGTTTAGGAAGCAGTGATTCAGAGAACGTTTTTTTTTTTTTTGTGGCTATATTGACCTTGGGAGTAGTGTTTATGAGACATGGGGTGGACAGGTGTGTCTCATTGAGAGCCCCAGAGAGATTTTAGTGTGTGGTCATCTGCAAATTTGAATATTTATACAGAACACTGAGGGGAAAAAAAACTCATCGACTATATGTGAAACAGAAATAGGTTACATTCCCTGAAACTCCTTTAATCTCCTTTCAGAAAATAAGGACACAAAGATGGATCAGGTCTAGGATCCTATTTATAACAATGGCAACTGGAAGAAACAAGCAGATGATGTAGTTGCATGCAGGAATGGATTGATAGTGCTTTATATTAAAACAATGGGTACAAGTAAGAATGTAAGAGTAATTTACCTCTAAATTTTCTCCACCGTGTTTTGATGAGTCTGCAGTGGTTGTCTTAAATTGCCATTTAGCTTTCTAACCCATTCTTTGCCTCCTCCTTTGTGTCAAGCAGACCAGTGAAATTTTGTCTTAGTGTCTGGGCAACTGTAAATGAGCCCTGTTCATACATTTTGTAGTGAGTGAACAACCAACCAGCCATGCCTCATTCCCCCTAGAATATCAAATGTGTACTCAGTGCATCACAAATCTATGGCTGTAGGAAAATGACTTGGTTGTAATGGTGGTGTTTGATTTCTGCCCTTAGATGCCTAGTATTTGATCAGAGTTGTCCACAGGTGTATAGAGTACGTCTGACTTGATTATAACACATTACCTTCCAGGAATCAGAAGTGATGAAGCAGAGGAGTTATCACTGTGGAGTGTTTTTAAAGCTCTTAGCTTGGACTTTCAGAGCAGAAGTCAACACCAGCTCTGTGCTTAGGCTAGATGCACATTGACACAAGCATATGCGCTCCTTGGTGGTAGTTGAGAGTATTGAAAATCAAGTGATTTGGAAGAAACTTCCAAAGGCTGCTTAGTCCAACCACCTGCTCAGACCAGGTGCAGTTTGAGGAGGCAACTCAGGGTCATGCATAGTTTAGTTTTTGATATCTACAATAATGGAGATTTCACAGCTTTTCTAGGTCCTTTCTAGTGTTTGAGCACTGTCAAAGTGAAGCATTTTCTTCGTATACAATCAGAATTTCCAGTGTTCTAACCGTGTCAGTTGTATTCTGACACTCTTCCGCACAAGTCTGAGGTAAATTTAGTGCTGTCTTCTGTATGCTTTCACATCAGGAAGTTGCAAAGATTAACAAGGCTTCCTCTGAGCCCTTTCTCCTTGTAGCTGAACAAAGCCAGCTCTTCCAGCCTCTCCATCCATAAACATCACTTACCCCAGCACCTTGAGTGCTTTGGTAGCTGTTTGCAGAATGCACCCCAGTATGGTGAAGCTATTTTTGTACTGGAGTCATCAGTACTGAGCAGAGGACTCCAGATGTAATCTACCAAGTTGTCCCTCAGAGACAGGAAGAATTGCTTTCCCTGGCTTGCTGGTTGCATTCTTGCTAATACTGCCCAGGATGCAGTTGCTTTCTTTACTGAAATGCTGTCTTGCGTTCAGCTTGTCTTTTGGGACCCCCGGGTCTTTCTATTTGTCAATAGCTTACAGGCTGGTTTGGCCCAGTTCTGTGACTAGCAGAGCAGGGGGATCCATGGACTCACACCCTAGGGAAGGAAAAAGGAGAAAAAAAGGGAAAAGGAAAAAGAAGAAAAAAAGGGAAAAGGATAGAGAGATGGGCCTGAAAACAAGACAACAATCTGAGAAGAAACAAACTAATTTACTAAATAAGATATCGGTGTGCATGATAACACACTATAATACAATACAATTAGAATTGAAGCTAATATATCAAGTAAAATGAGAGAGAATGTCCAAACCAGCCTGTAAACAGTTGACACTCTGAAAAGCTGCTTTTGAGCCAGTTGGCTCCCTACCTGTGCTGTTGCAAGGAGTAATTTGTCTTACTGTTTGCTTAAAGGGACATATATATATGTATATAGACACATAGTATGCTTCCATAAGTACACATACACATTACTGCTGCCTTCAAAATGCCCAGATTTTTTAATGAGTTCATTCTGTGATACCCTCAGTAGAGATTACAGGAGTATGTTTCTAAAGCAAACCTATCACTTAGAGGATGATGTATGTTCTTGTAACACTGTGCTGTTTTGTCACTACTGTTTCATGCTGCAAGGGCACAGATTTCACCATGCAGTTATTTTTCAAGGAAGGCAATGACAAGTATTTTCCCTTCAGTCTTGTACTGACAGATTCTGGCTAATCTGCATTAGGATTACTAAATGAGACAAGATGAAGCAGAAAAACACTACCACTATCAGTGGCAACACCACCAACACTTGCCTTATGTAATGGATTGTAAGAAGCAATGGCTTCACTGCTTGTGCTGTGCAGTTATTCATGCTCAGAATCCCTTTCACAGCTGAGTCAGAAAGCATATGGGGGGGGGTGGGGGGTGAAGGAGAGGGGTCTGTAGATCTGTGTAGACTTCTTTGCAAGTGCAGTTTTCCCCCAGACTGCACTGGTAGAGACTATAGCAGGCCTGGCTGCTCCTGGAAGCTTTACCATCACAGTTCTGCACTTTTGCCCTAATAGACAAAATCAGGGTATATAGCTGACTTGAGTCACAGCAGTACAATGTGGAGGAACTTATTCCAAATGACTATGGAAGCCCAGACAGACTTTCAGCTCACACTAATGATATTATGGTGATCAAATGCTGCCTCCAATTGCTAAGAAATGAATTCAGTGGTTTTCCCTACGTTTATTTTCGCTGTATTAGAAGTACGCATTCTAAAGATTCTCTGGATAGGGTGATCAGACAGGCAAAATTCTGGGATGTGTTTAGCAGTGATATAATTTCTTAGAGCTGTCAACAAATGTATTTTGTGTGGTCTTGTCCTTGGAAAGAAGGAAACTACAGTACACTTTGTGTGGCTTTCTTGTCTGTTTGATCTCTCATTCAGTTGAAAGAAAGCAGCAGTTCTATCAAGGTGTCTATTCTGATGTCCCTCAGATTGCCTAGCAGATAGGTTAGGACAAGTCTAGACAAGTTTTGCTATCAATCTAAATATTAATCTTTGTGGTACTTTGCTTCCTTTTAATGCTTAGCTGTTAGTCATGCTGTTATTAGCGTAGTTTTCCATCACTCTTAATTTAAGGATGTGAAATGTCTTATAAGAGAGTCTTCAAACATCATAGGCTCTGCCGCATACTTCTGAATGGTCCCTATGGTGACAATGCTGCAATGAGACTGCAAACACAGCACTGAAATTTATGGGTACCGAGGACCCTGCTGTTAATTCTCTTGATAGCCATATTGAAATAGGAGCCATACAGACATTAGCATGTCATGATATATGGCAGTACGGAACGTTAACAGTGCTGTGGGGATTTCTCGGAAATTTCATAGCAATCTTAAATCTCTTCTTGGATAACTGCTAAATAGTTCTTCTGTTTCCCCCCTCTTTTTTTTTTTTTTTTTTTTAATAGCGCGAGATGAGAACATGGCCACTTTCCGTGGTTCCGAATATCTTTGCTATGACCTGTCTCAAAACCCCATCCAGAGCAGCAGCGATGAGATCACTCTCTCCTTCAAGACATGGCAACGCAACGGGCTCATTCTGCACACCGGCAAGTCTGCTGATTATGTCAACCTGGCCCTGAAAGATGGTGCGGTCTCACTGGTCATTAACCTGGGGTCTGGGGCCTTCGAGGCCATTGTGGAGCCTGTCAATGGCAAATTCAATGACAACGCATGGCATGACGTTAAGGTGACGCGCAACTTGCGGCAGGTAATGTTGAAGGAGAGAAAATGCTGGGGAAAACTTTGTTCTCTTATATTTGCACAGAGGTGGATATGAGGGAGAAATGGGGATGCTTGGCGGGCTCACTAGAGTTTCTTCTTTTCTAGTTATTGGTATGATGATAGTGGATGATTTAAAAAAAAAAAAAAGTTAATGGGAATTTATCCCTGTTGCAATATATTCACTTTCACTTTATTAATTTTCCGTTTTTCTCAGTTTGATTTAATAATAAAATCTTGCGCATGACCTTACTTTCATCTCTCTTTTCTTTCCTCTATTTTTGTTCTGCCATTTTTTATTTTATTATTTCTTTAATTATGATTCAATCTTATCAGTAATATTCTTGTTGCATTTAATTACTGTGGGAATTGAATATTTTTCCAGCAACCGATGCTCTACACTCTTCTACTTTTTCTTAAGTTTTGTTAATTTGTCTAACCATTGCCATAATGTCACAACTCTAATTCTCAAAATCTTTTTTTTCATTTACTTTCTTTTTTTCCTTTTTGTGTGTATGCAAGTGTGCAGGTATGCAGGTTGGTGGGTACGTGTGTATTAATTTTAAATTTGTAGCTTTGGAATTAATTGGCTGGAGTCTTTCTGAGTCTTCTTGATTCTCTGTTCTTTTCTTCTAACTTTTCCCCTTCTTTCTGTAATGAGATTCTACTTTATTTCTTAAGTCTCTGCCTATGAGACTCTTCTGTTGGCTGTGAGGACTGGAAAAGTGGAAGGATCAGAAAAGCCAAGCAAACCCAGACCAATCCAACACCCTACAATTCCACTTTGGAAAAGTTTTTTCTGATTTTGCCACTGTAATTTTGCACATCTGCATGCTGCCTTTCTAAGCAGACAACTCTATCAGGTGACGTATTTGGTATTAGGCCGACTTAAAATTCTGAAGCCTTCTTCATGAAATATAAATTCGGACATATATAGATAAGATAAAATTAAATAACCTTGCTCTGAAAGCTGGTGAATATCTCAAGTCACTAAGGCCCATCTACCACATGATAGATGAAGTTTACTCTCTAGATTTGAGCTACTTGATATCATACTGATTGGTAGAGATGTCAGAAATGGCATGTAAACTGAGATTGTAAAAACAACTTGCGACAACAATTTGATTTATTTATTTGCTCATTTAAGTGGATATTAATGCAAACTTTAGGAGTTTTATCCAAGTTTATACAACAACTTTTGGTGAGAAAACATCTTTTTTGGTAAAAATTTACAATAGCTAAAACAAAACATATCAGCAGATATAGGCTTACCAGTGTCAGGGATCAGAAGCAGTTTCTACCAATAGATTTCAGTTAGTGATTTCTGTTTGAGCAATTTCACATCAAATATTTGCTTTGGGGAGTGAAGGTCTTTCCCATGTAAATTCTTGTATTTCTACATGTTCATGATGTTTTGATCATCATCAAACTTCCATGAGACTGCAGGATTTTCGCTAGTGGCATCATTAGTCTATTTTTACCAGTTTATACACAAATGCAAATTTAATTTCTAATGTGTTGGACGGGTCTTAATGATCCTATTTCGTGCAGATGTTCCCATCAGGCTAGTAGAGGGTGATGCACCAACTGTTTGAGGTCAGCCACTCCAGAAATGCCAGAAGTACTGCTTTATTTCATGTGTGTCATATTATCAGAAATTCACATGTAAATTTGCAGTGCAATACAGGCCACTTGGAAGTTCTGTTTTCAACTGTGAACATGTTGCATAAAAATAAATAAAAAACACCAACCAAGAATTGACCCTAAATATTGAGGCTTAATCTTTAAAATGAAGTAGAGATTCCAAGAATGTGATCCAAAGTTAAAACAATTCCAGATAAATTGATTATCAGGAACTTTAAGATATCAATCTTATCCTGTGCTTTTTCTGGAGAGGAGATGAAGGAGGATTTGCATAATTTTTTGGCTTTTCCTGGAACTGGAGCAGAACTTTAAATAGCTGGACTTTTGCCCAGTACGTTTTGGAATTGTTAAATGCTTTGTAGCTAAGTGCTTCCTTTTTTATTTTATTTAATTTTTTAAGATCAAATGACTATCACAGCAGTTAATCTCCTTAGAGACAGATCATGTGAATCCACAGATTCCCTTGAGTAGTGATTGTTAATGTCAAAACAAATCTCCTTGTTTATTTATCTTATTATTTCAGTTAAAACTAAGCCCAGATTCTGCCTTGTGTGAAACCTTTACTGGAAATAGGATCATGGGCGTATTTTACCAGGACTTTCAGAGCATGTTTCCCCACCACACCATGCTAAATTCCAACTTTCTTGTTTGTAAAAATGGATTTACTTGCACAGTAATGTCAGTGCACATTCCTTCAAAATTTGCAGGGTGGTTTTTACCTGAGGCAGCATAGATCTCACTTGTGAAACAGGATAATCTTGCCAACTTTGATCACAGTGGGACAGGAAGTTGGAGCCTGTACTTCTGTGCTAGCACTGAAGCTAGTCACCATGCAAAATCTGCCATAAAGATTTTGAATTCCTCAGCTACTAAAAAGCAAGCAAGAAACAATATGCAGATTCAAACAGTTGGAATCTGCATTCTGTGGGAAGTAAAAAACCATCCATATAGCTCTATTAAACTCAGATAAAGAACTATACCATGAGTTCCCCTTGCTCTGTAATATAGATGCAATATAACAAGAGAGACATTAAATACAGTCTTCTGTTTTCTCTCATTCAAATGACACAATTCTTCCTACACAATTCCTCAATATATTTCTTCCTTACTGTAGGAGTTTCAACTTCTGTATGCTCAGATGGCACAAATACCCCAGCACATGCCTTTTTTTACGCTTCTCCTGAAAGTCACATATTTACCTGCTGTAAAGAAACCTGCAGATTCTGAAACTTCTAAGGATAGGTTCAGAGTTTTGTACTCATCTTCAGCTGTATTCTCCAGCCAAAGAAATATTGGCCTGCCAGTGATACTCTGCAGTGCTTAAGGGTAGCGAGGCTTGAAAGACAAGCAAGAATATAAGGATGATGGTAGGTGAAAGAAAGGAGTCATGGTTGGATTTGCGCTGAAGGGACAAACTGGTGTGTATGTTTCTGAGCATAAGGTTTTTGCTTGGGGGAAGCACCTTGATGGACATTTGAAAGGTAAGTATTGCACTGTTTTAAATTTGCTTCAGTCCTGGATAATGTGTATGAGGATTGAAGTTAATGACTAATACTGGGGTGGGAAGACTAGGCAGCACCCTTCTTCTTTACAGAGTAGATGGCATGGCTCCCCATAGAGTCCTGGTCATATTGTCCTCTCTCACTTTGTGTGTGTCAGGTGCCCCACGCCTTTTTTTGGAAAACTAACACTAGACCATTCATGCAATGTGTCATTTTTACTAACCAACTAATGTACTAACACCCTAACGACTCATCTTTGCTTTTAGTTATTTTAATTAACAATCGTTCTGTTCACGATTTTTTAATTTCCTTTCTTCCCCCTTTTCCGCAAAGCACTCAGGCATTGGACACGCTATGGTAAACAAACTACATTGTCTGGTAGATATCATTCTTATTGTCTCTTTTTTTGGGTTTGCCGTGTGTTACCTGCCTTTTCCTTCCCCTACTCCCTCTTTTTCCCCCCTCCTTTATACTTACTTCTTCCTTTAATTTTATTTTAGTTTCATCAAAAACACATTTATCTTTTTGTCTTTTTCTTTTTCTTTTTTTTTTTTTTTTAAATGGAAAATATGAAGAGCAAAAGCAGTGAACACAGCTGTTCTGGAAATGGGGTTTGGAATTTCTTTCATTGGTTTCCTCACCTCCCTCTTTAGTTGTTTTGTATTCCAGTGATTTTTTTTTTTTTTTTCTTCCTTTTAAAATTATTTTTTTCCTTCCCTTTTGATTTTTTAAAATTTTTTTATTTTTTAACTCCGAAGGTTTTTAGATCAGAACCATTGCAGGGCCTCTAGTCTGTGGTGGTGAAGGCTCTCTTTTTCTCTCATCCTTTTGTTGTGGCAACAGCTGTTATAGGCAAACTGGCCAGAGTTGTCCTCTTTCTCCCAACTTTCCCCACTTCCCTCCCTCCTCTCTCTCTCCTCCCCTTCTCTCTCACTTTCTCTCTCTCTGACTTTCCACCTGCCGTGGCCAAAAGGAGCTCAGCCGGCTGTTTGTTTCAGTACACACTCTGCATGGCATGTCCACGTCTGGTGACTCGCCCGTCTCCCACCAGCCTTAATCTATTTTCCTCCATCTTCCCTTCAAACCACTAACAACATCTACGCAAAACACATCGAGTTCACTTGCTACTCTCCCTCCCTCTCCTTCCAGTTCCCTTCACCCTCCATGTATTTGGGGTTAGAGATTTTGGATCCTTCCCTGTTTGTTTTTGAGTTGTTTTTTTTTTTCTTTATCTTGGAGTTTGTTTGGTATTTTTATTTTTGATTGCATGCATGTGTGAAATAGTTTTCTTTTCTCTCTTGCTCTCTTTGCTTTCTTTCTTTTCCTCTCAACTTTCTGGGCTCCAGGTATAATGGCATGATATGTCAGAGCGCAGTGTGTGCACGCTTTGTGTTTTCTTTCCACCTCATCTCTGCTTCTCTCTCTTTCTCTTGTTAGTGTGTGGTTTGAATTATTTTATTTTCATTTATTTTGATTTCTTCCTATTTATGTTTTGGTTAATTTATGAAATACCATTTTTATTTAATTTATTTTTGGGTGGGTGGTGGGTGTGTATGTCCCTAGGTACATGGCATGCACATCCATAATGTATTGAAAGTGAGATCCCTTTCCCACCCCTCCCTGAATGCATGATTGTCAGTGTGCTGTGAGCAAAAGAAACATAAAAAATAAAAAATACCAACTTCGTCTTCATTAGTGTTTTTTTTTTTTTAAACTAACAACCATAACTAACTGTAATCATTAAAATAAAAACTAATTAATCATAAAATCAGCTAATATGAGAAATCTACAAGGAAAATTCCATTTTCTGGCCTGTGTAAATGGAAATCATTTCAGTGTGTAGAGTGCTGGTTCAGCCTGAAAGTGTGGATACACTAGAAAGGGAAGAAGCAGATGCTGAAGAATTTCCATTGTGGTTGAAGCAGACCAGAAAATGGAGCTTGGCTGAACTAAAAAAAAAAAAAAAAACAAAAAACAAACAAACAAAAAAAACCAACAAACCAAATCTCAACAAAATCCTTAATAAAACTGACATAAAAATATAAGGGAGGTGACTCATTCTTCTCAGGACCGTAAGGTCATTGCTGGGGTTTTCTTTGTTGTGTCCCTTGAACAGGTGACCATCTCTGTGGATGGCATCCTTACCACCACGGGTTACACACAGGAAGACTACACCATGCTGGGCTCAGATGACTTCTTCTATGTGGGAGGGAGCCCCAGTACTGCTGATTTACCTGGCTCTCCAGTAAGCAACAACTTCATGGGCTGCCTCAAAGAGGTAGGGGATTCAGATTAACTACTGTTTCATTGCTTTTGGTTTCTCAAAATCATAGCTTTTTCCTGCCTGCTATTACATACTCAGTGTCTTTCCCTCATGATGAATTTTACACTAATACTACAGCAGCACTGTAAGGATAAACTTGATATTCACCTGGGCAGAAGACATCAGCCATGAAAGTCATGAGCTTATTGTCATTATCAGACTTCTGGTTCTTGAATTACAAAAATTATACCAGTGGTGTAGTATGTGAAGTGCCTTCTGTAGGCTGTCAGTCATTTAAGGCAAGTGTTTTAATCCTCTGGATAGACTCCTTAAAGAGTGTGGCTGAGTGAGTCTAATTCTACATGCACCCAAGAGGGTTATCATAATATCCTGGTATGAACATGTATATCAGAGAGATGGCAGAGCTGGGTTTTCATGCCAGATTCAGGCAAACTGTGATGCTGAGCTAGATGTTGTTCTAGGGTTGTATAGCTGCCTGACAAATTACTGTCCTACAGATGCTTGACTTGTGATGTCAGGGATTTTGTCTTATGTGCAGTCTGCTGATGTGAGCAATGACTGTTGGTCTGGTGCTGCTGTCCTGCTTGACCTCTAGATTTGTTAAGGGGGTGCATGTATGCTGGAGATGAGTATGTGAGTATCTTACAGAAGAAATGAAACTGCCTTACTGAATACAAAATGTCATGCAGAGATCAAATCCTTCTGTTTTCATCCACAGAGCCTTGGGCCTGATTTTCATAGGCACTGAGCATCCCAGTTTGATTGAAATCAAGAGGAGATGCTGCTTCCTAGTGTCTCTTTAAATCAGGATCTTAATTTTATTTATGGATGCTATGAACATAACACTTAGCAGAGGCCATTTTTATGTGTGCTTTAAGTCAAGCCAATGGAGCAGAGAAAGCAGTGACAAGAAAATCTTCAGCAGCTTTATTATTTATATAATCATTTGTATTCTATTAGCTCGTGCAATGTGCTAAGAGCTGCTTATATTGCCATCCCAGTCTTACAAAGCTCTGTGTGAAGACAAACCAAGCAGAATAAGAGGAAAAGGAAGAATTCAGATAATCAGAAAGTACTTTGTCATTGTCACCTGCCTTGGTTGTGACAGGAGATGTGGATGAGGTGCTGTCTAGACTTAAAGACAGACTAGTGCTGGCTGGGCTTGAGTTACAGTCTGCATAATAGCAACCTGCTCTTAGCAGTGGCCCACTGACACTTTCAGGTGCTTTAAAAATATGTGCAAAATGTACATTACCTGGCTTCTGAGGAGAAATTTGGTATAGGTTACTCACCAAGCATAAGTGTAGCACAGAGCTGTAGGGAGAATACACTTGGAAATTGAATAAATGGAAAAATGTAACATTTCAAAAGCGAGCCATGTTGTAATTAGTACTTTGTATTTCTAGCCCATGACTCCTACAGATCCCTTAGGCCCCAGAATGAGTTAGCACTGGTACCTGTAGGAAGCATAAGGAAACTGACAGTTGTGCTTTTCCGCAGTTCTCATTTGGTAAAAGGAGGTGATGGGGAGCTGCAATTGGAGAAGGAGAGGACTAAGTGACTTTCAGTGTCCTGGCAAAACCTAGAAATGTATCTATAACACTGATACCTATGAGGGGCAGGGTCTGACCAAACAGCCAGCCTGTATAGGCTGAGAAGGACTCTCACTGCATAAACAGTGAATTATCCTCAGTCATCAAAGAAGTGTCTGCTTTCATTAGGTGGAGCTTGGGATGAATTGAGCAGAGCAGTTTGCCTTGTGAAATTCCTCCTGGGACTGATTTTTTTTCTCTTTTGCTAGGGAAGAAAATACTGCCAAAGGTAGCAGGATCAGTGTGAGATCCACCAGAAATAGAGGGCAGTACTTTTGAGTCTTTTCTATGTTTAGTCCTGAAATGTCAAGATATGTCAGCATGGTACGAATGAAATTGCTGAGCTGGCTCCTAGAAAGCAAGAATGCCTTTAGGGATCAGCATGACCCCTGGGGGCAGCTTTCTTTCATCCCACAGAGCAGAACTAGTGTGGTGCTTATGTGCCTGTCACGTTTCTGGTTCCACAGTTGGCTTTACTGGGGAACTTATTTGGCTCTCTGCATGGTAGGCACTATATTTATAAACCTATCTCTATAGCTTATTTTCTCTACATCTGGGAAGAATACTTAATGCCTCATTAATCAATACGGGAGGAACTTGAACTATTTAGAAAAAGTTCTAAGTTCATGAAATTGGATGAAGGGAGAATATAGACAACAACTACAGATATTGTTCCTGGGGGCATCTTGTTTCCCTAGGAAGGCAAAGGAATTCATATAGGCTTTAGAATGAGACTTTATTTCACCCTATAACTTCACATATTTCATCTAGACTGTGTCAGCCTCATAGCACAGCAACCACAGCTAAGAACCTCACTGGGGCTAAAAAGTCTCCTGGAGCATTCCCATGTCCTCTGTTATTGCATATAGGTGCTGAACTGCAATGGGGAATGAAATGCCTGATGATTCTCTGTAACTTTGCAGCTGGGTAGGGTTGGTGAGAGGATGATGGACAGCTCTGGCAGGGTGATTGCTTCATGTGGTCAGAGTCTAAGCCTTGATTAGGAGGAACATGTCTCCTGAGTGCACGTGGTGGGGTCTCACGGCTCTCCTGCTGCAGTATCTAGATATGCTGTGGTGAAGGTAATCATGTTCCTTCTGGACTGTGTGAGCCAATGTATTCTCCTTTCATCACAGAATATATCCTCCTGTCTCTTCCTTGCAGCAGGTTCTGATTGAAGAGATTCCATTACCTTGCTTGCAGTAATGTACCTAAGGTTTCCTGGACCTTCATTCTTAAGATAAACTATTCTAGAGGAACTTAGGGAGAATACAGTATTCTCCCTGTCATGGAGAAAATCAAATATAGAGATGGGATAGGAGGAGGTACAGAGACAGAGAAGTGAGCAGAAACTTCTTCAGTGGATGTCAGGGAAGGAGTGAAATTGCTTTAACAGTCAAATGGATAAACAGGGAGAAGCACTGCGTAAAGGCGGAAAGGAAAAAGGATCTGTTAATAACATTTAAGAATATCTGGATGGTTTCTGGACAACCAGAAAGAGGCAGGACAAGAAATATAATGCCAGCATATTTTGTATGTACAAGAGAGTTTCAGATCGGAGGTTCTAGTAATAAGGATTGAGTACGGAAAGAGGCTGAGTGGGAAGTTGAGCTGTGTAAGCAAAAAGGAAAATGTGGATCTCAGTCTCTGCTCATTAGGGAAGGGAGAAAATCAGAATATTCTCAAGGCTCCATTACAGAGCCAGCCATTCAGACTGATTTGCTTGGAGCAGTGCTTAGTACAGATGGAGATGCTTTAGAAGAGCCTAAGGTGATCCCTAAAGAATAGATGTGTGTGAGAGAATGTATGAGATCTTCACATTTTTCTGTTCATTTTTCTATTAATGCTTTATTAAAATCTCAATTTCTAAAAATGTTTATCAGTAGTAACAGCTTGATGGAAGCAGTGAGGTTTGCATATGGGTAGAATATGGCAGAAAATTATTGCAGGGGTCAGGCACCATCTGGCCATGATGGGAGAAAGCTGTGAAAGCTTAGATCATGTCTGTCTACAATTTAACTGCCAGGAGCCAGATTTCCAAATGGTTCATGAGTGTGCCCAGTCGCTGCATATGCATCTCAGATGCTATCTGCAAGCCAGCTTTTTTATTTTTATTTTTTTAGGCCTCTTTGCATGCGTAATGTTAATGATGATGTGATTTCTGTTTAGGGAAAAAGTCATTTGGATGGAATGTTGCACTGGGGAGGAGGTTGGAGGTGCAGGTAGAAGGAGGCCTGAAAATATGGAGGCTGAGAAAAACAGCCCAAATGTAAAGAGGGTATGTGGAGGAAGCTGCAGTTTTAAAAGACCCTATCTAATGGGGAGACAAGATAGCCCAAAAGCACTTGTGTGCCCAAAATCCCATTCCAGAGCAGCAGTTTAACAGAGCCCCAGGAATACGTGAAACTGGCAAGTCAGGAATTACCAGTGTGAGGGATTTCACTGTTTGTCTGTGGAAGTGATTAAGGTGTGAATGGCATTAATTGCACATGTGATCCAACACTATTCTATTGTAATTGGCCATGTCTGTTTCTTGTTTATATTAGTGACTTTAATATTTTAAAAAAAGAAAGAGAAGGGCTAATGGTACTGAGTAGAGGCAGAGAAAACATAGCCAAAGATGAATATAATTCATTTCCTCAAAATGTCTTGTTCTTAATTTTCATCCCCCATTGCTATTCTTTGCCACGGCATCCCAAACAGCCCTGATGGTGATGACTCTCATTCCCAGATTTCCAGGTCCAGAGGCCTGTAACATTTTTAAGTGCCTGTTGCTCTTGAATTCCAGTTGCGTTACCATTGTATTAGTGGATCACTGTGTTGCTGCACATCTAAGGCTGTGCTTATTGAAAGTCTAACATCATACAGTGTACCTGTAGAGCACTGAGTGGAACAAGATCTTAATCATGTTTTTAAGTGAGCATATTGTAGAAATACAACAATACTGTGGCTTGAGAGAGGCAGCAGGGGAGACATTTGCCAACATTTTGAGCAATTCCTGCTGTAATTTGTGAACAGATTAAGAGAAAGCACATTTCTGGAAAGATTTAATTTGAAGGTGGGAATGGGCACACATGGAAGCTGAGAGCAAAATGATGCAGAGCAAGAAGTGGAGAGACTCCAGAATAGCAAGAAAAAAAAAAAGATGGGGGGAAAATTCATTGAGTTTTCTCATCAAATAATGTTTGTAAGCCTAATTCCTGGGCTTGTTTACATTTGGTGTTAATCTATTAGCTCAGAACCAAGATGGGTTTAAGGTTGTATATTTGGGCAAGAGGATACTTCCCAGGCTGTCTGATGGTTGCCAACAGGTGTTGCATGCTTGGTCATGAATCCTGTCAGACTTTGTGCTGTGCTTTCTGTTGTGGCTGTGGAGAGTGATGTGAGCCCTAGGTGAGCAAG